GCCAAGGACACGGGAACCAGGACAGCGTCAGACCCCAGGAGCGCAGATCTCAGAAGTGACATGAGGTTAATTGCGGAGCGCTCTGTACAGGTGAGATTGGGTGCGGAGCCGGCTGAGTGTGCGAGGACGTCGGCGGGGAGACGGCCTGGCAGACGCAGGTCATCGGGAAGTTAAGCGGCCCGGAGGAGTGAATGAGTTTAATGTCTCAATCTTAGACTTGAACACACTGCTCCTTGGGAACAAATGGATCTTAGTGCTGTCCCTTTGTTTTACAGGTGGATGTATTCAGAGAGAATAATTTGCCCAAAGTCACTTAGCAAGTTAATGATAAAATTAGAGATAGAAATCAGGTCCCCATACGTTCAGTTAAGTACTTTGCTTTTTAATCCTAAAATCCACATGGAAGAGGAAAGGTTGGTGAACAGAGGAAATAGTGATTCTCTTGCAGAGGGAGTGGGGAGGAACAGAGAAGTCTTTTGACCAGGGTCTGCGTTGTTTGGGAAAATGAAGAATTGAATCTAGGTTTCTGACCCCCAGTGAGGCGGTGCTGTGTCTCAGTGACCCCCGTAGAATTTCCAAAATACTCAATGGATGGCTTCCATATTCCTGCCATCATTGAAGGCAAAGCTGTTTTTTTCTGGTGAATTTATCACTACAAAGTCTTTTTTTGTACTTGAAATGTACATTTTTTAATAACTCTATCTACATAAAAGTTAAAAATAAATACATTTGATATCCCTAGGCTGATACCAATTTTTATATCATTAACCACTTACACAGTATCGTCCTCTAAAGAAGGTTTGCTGTTAAATAGCCTATAAAATCATTCTAGCATTTTGAATATACCCCTTCATTTAAGAGAAGCTTCAGTTTTCCTATTTACAGCAATTTAACAAAAATAGTCAATTATCACTAATTTCTAACCATAAATGTAATGTGCATTTTCATGCTATAATTATTTAATTTTACATTAAAATAATTTTTAAAGTTTTTTAAAATAAATAATTATGGCATTGATGTCCAATAAACTATGTACATAGCAAACAGAATTCATAGCAGCTCATAGGTATCAAGGTTTAAGAATACAATTTAATATATGATCATTAAGTAAAATTGGCAAACATCAAATTTTGCAAACTGAGATTTAGGTATATCATTGTCCTATAAAGCAATAAATCTTTTTTAAAAATTTTTATTTTATTTATTATTTTTTATTTTATTATTTTATTTTCTATTTTATTTTATTTTTTCCATCACCATTCAATTCCCTTATACCCTTTTCCACTTCCACCTCTCTCCCCCAACACAAAAATTAGGCAGATATCCAGAACTGAAATGTAAACGTAAGACCTCAGAGATCTCCAGATGGAAACGAGGGTCAAACTTGAAACAAATGCAGGAATATCTTACTGCCTAGTAGGAAAAAATACACAGAAATCTCGGTTGGGTAGAGGTGCTCCTCAAATTGAAACTGGAGTGGAATTTCACACTTGAGCTGTCCAGATTTGTCTTTGAGTCCCTCCTGCGTCCCAGGATTGTGCTGACGTTCGTGGAGAGGATCAGAGAAATTAGTAAATAAATTTCCTGCCCTCTTAAATTTTGTGAATGGCTGCCAGTGCAAAAAGAGCTGAGGCGAGAGGGGGCTAGAGATACTAGAAATGGCACTGCGCACCGGCAGCCTGGGCTGTGCAGGATTTGGAAAAGGGCGGGAGAGGGAGGGCAGGACTGGAAAACATGTGCAGACTCTCAGGTCCTTGGCTCATGGTCTTGGGGGCAGGGGCACCTGATTTTCTCCTGCCTGTCCTCCTAGGCTGCCCCAGGAGTGTCAGGGGCCAGCTGTGGCACAGGACAGCCTACGTAGAACAATCAGAGAAGTGTGACAGAAAAATTCGTTTCCTTCAAGGAAAGGGGGAAATTGCTTGCTTCCTTTGGTGTGTTCCAGCCTGCCCGCTCCGAATTAATTTGGCAGAGTGAATCAGAGGACAAGGGCTGTCTCCATCCTTTGCGGGGAGAACTTGGCAAACAAGGCTGCCACGGACAGGCAATAATTAAATTGCCTTGGATAATGTCTAATATAATTGAGACCAAGGCTTGTGAGCATGTGTCGCAAAGAGCTGTCTCTCCTAGAGGCTCCCCTGGGTCTTCGAGCCCTTTCTGGACCACATTATGAGACCTAATAGCTTAATTAAAATGAGAAAACATTTTTTAGAAACCTGACTAGGAATAGACAAATTGCAAAAAAGAAAAGGGAAAGAGATCCCCTTTCTGTCCAGCAGCTTTGGAAAAGCAAATTTTACGGGCTTCATTTCTCCCTCCAGCTTCTAGTTTGAAGGACAGTGAAATGGAAACCTTTTTTATAGAACTGAATGAAAAAAGCAGGGTTTTCACCTATGCTCATTACAAATGGAACTTACAAGTCTCATTTTTATGCTTTTCAAAAGGCTACCTGATGAGAAAGAGGCAATTCGGAAAATGCCAAAAGCCTAAAATGTAGGGAGTATGAAAATTTTAAGCAGGCTTTGCTGTCTATGTCTTGCAGATCAACGGTGTTAANTTGCTGTCTGTCTTGCAGATCAACGGTGTTAATGGAGCATGTCACAGTCACCAAGAAANCTGCTGTCTATGTCTTGCAGATCAACGGTGTTAATGGAGCATGTCACAGTCACCAAGAAACGTTCTTGTCTCTTTCCCGTGTGCTCTTGCACAACTTCGCGTGTCTTTTCAGGCCTGTCTCACACTCTGCCAATCTCACCGCTGGCTCTCGCTGGCCCCGCTTCTAGGCTGAGGCCTCTTCCCTCCTCGTTTACTCTTTGTTCAGGGGTAGCCTGAATGTTTTCAGCCCTAATTCTAGCTGCTACCTTGTGTGGCAGTCTGTCCCCCAGATTATTATGGAAAAATGTCACTGCAGAACAGAATGTGCTGTACAGCTGGCAGCAACTGCTTTGTGTGTGTGCGTTGGCATTGTTTTTATAGCAGATAATATTTCCTATAGTTTTAGAAGTGTATGGTTATATAAACATAAGACTTTTCAACCAATAAATAAGAAAAAAGTGGCCTTACAGTATGCATGGGTATGTGGAATTGTACAGGTTTTTATTTAAAAAACACATTTCAAAAGTGATACACAAAACAGTTTTTCCTAACTCTTCCCCCATGTATATCCTATTACATAGCTCTCTTTATTTATTTTCCTTTTTTTTATATGTCTTTATTGATTTCAGAGAGAGGAAGGGAGAGGGAGAGATAGAAACATCCATGATGAGAGAGCCGTTGATCGGCTGCCTGCCGCACACCCCCTACCAGGGATCAAGCCCGCAACCTGGGCATGTGCCCTGACTGGGAATTGAACTGTGACCTCCTGGATCCTAGGTCGATGCTCAACCGCTGAGCCACGCTGGCCAGGCTTATTTTCCTTCTTGCACCTTTTAAAATTACTTTATTGGGGTGACATTGGTAAATAACATTATGTAAGTTTCAGGTATACAATTCTATAATAATCACCCGAAGTCTAATCTCCTTCTGTCGCCATATATCTGACCCCCTTTACCCTTTTTTTCCTCTCCCCACCCCCCGCTTCCCCTCTGGTAGCCACCATTCTGTTGTCTGTGTCTATGAATTTGTTCATTTGTTGCTTTCTGTTTTATATACCACATATGAGAGAAATTATATGGTTCTTTTCCTTTTCTGACTTATTTCACTTAGCGTGATGCCTCTTGCACTTTTCATAATCTGAAATTCTCTCGTGTGTGTATATGTACATATATAAGTATTATATATACATTACATGTGTAAATGTTATATATAAATATATATATTTTACTTATGTATTGCTGTCTTTTCCCCTCTAGAGTAAGGCTGGAACTTCATATCCAGCACATAGTCGATGCTCTTGACTTTTAAAAAATACAATGAATCAACCAATCATTTAGATAGAACCAGGGTCCTCTGGCTCAGACATCAAGTATTTGACTCCTAAAATGATTGAAGCACAAATAATCAGTTGGCCGTAAATTAATTTAGTTCAGTTATAGGAAGTTCTGACTGATGCCCAGGATAATGATTTAATCTTTCTAGATCTAACAGTTTTTTCTGGATGGCCTAACAGTTTTATGAGGATTTAAAAATCACATTTTATATTTTATTTTTCGTTATCCCTTATCTTTGAAATTACAGTTCTTTCTCCATCTGTAATTCACTCCTGCAGTGCCCTTTAGAGAGCGCCTGCTCTGTGCCAGCTCCTAGGGATGCAAAAATGGACAAGCTCCCTGCCCTGTAGCCACTTACCATTCAAGTGGAGAGCAAGACAACCCCACCAAGGCTGGGGTTTCTGATGCTGTGACAGGACTTAACCGCAGGAGCTGAGAGAGGGACATGGACTCAGAGTTAGGGTTTAGAGCAAGAGACTTCTAAGCTAAGGCTGAAGAGGAAGACTTAGCGGTTGGTGGAGGGCGCGGTGCGGGAGTGAGCAGGGGATGCGCGTGGGAGCAAGTTCAGGGCGAGAGGAGCAAAGTGGGTCCAAGCAGAAGCATCACATTCAAGGGTCAGGGCACTCAGGACAAACGGACGCGGCTTTGCATGGGAGGAGCGTAGATTTTTGAGGTAGAGATTGGTATAAAATGCGGCTGGGAATGGGGGCAGGAGCAAAGATAGGAAGGGAATTGCGGTGTGATCTACTGTGTCTCATGGACAGTGGGAATCCCTGGAGGGTTTCACACATAGGAGTGTCACGTTCAGAATCTCAGGATGCATGGGTGGTTGGATCTACTTGTGAGTTAGGACCACCCGGTGATCCTACAGTTGCCTGTTCCTAAAGCTGTACCAGGGGAGAGGGTGGGCGAGGCTCAGGGCAGAGCCATCCCCTCAAGCGCACGGCTTACTGCATGGCACAGCTACTTGGTTAAATGACACCTTATCAAGATTCTAGTCAAAAGGTCAAGAGACGTTTCATACCCCATTACACCTTCTTTCAGGGGGTTTCTCCTCTTCATTTGCCCCCCCAGAACAACAAGGTCACACTCTTCCGCCGGCTGCAGCAGATGACATACAGCCTGATCGAGTGGCGGTCCCAAATCCTGTCCGGAACACTCCCCAAGGACGAACTGGCAGAGCTCAAGAAGAAGGTCACAGCCAAAATCGATCACGGGAACAGGTAAACCAGGGATGACTTTCCACTGAGAACCTGGAAAAAGACGGACACGTTCATGCTAAAGACACAGCTCACCCCGAGCTTTTGACCTTGGAGCTGCCAAAGAATAATGCTTACCGCTCTCTTTTTGCCTTGGAAAACATCTAATTTTGTGGGGGAAAAAAAAATTGGCAGTGCTCTTCCTGGGCCAGACCCTGTGCTGGATCTCTGATCTCAGGGAGATGAAGGAGGGTTAGGGAAGGGGGGCTCGGATCTTAGTGACTCCATTACCAGACAAACTGAATGGACTAAATCCAACATTTTTGGAGATCTGGAACTGTCTCAGTTTTTATTTTAACACTAGATTTTAAGTCAGTGTCATTCAGACTCAATCTTTCTCTCCACCTTCCCCTAACTGGAAGTGCAGTGTGTGAAAACCAGATTTGCCAGAATAATAAAGCATATTTTTAGCCTGTTGATTATGTCTCCAATAACTTCTAAAGAGTTCATTACTTCACTAATTGTCTGATTAGCTCAGGCAGATATATAGTTTCTAGAGATCACTGCCTTTTAGAAAGTGAGAAATTTAATCAATTCATCAATGTTTATGGGACCTAGGCGTTGTTTCTCCAGACCAGCTCTTTTTAAAAGACTAGGTTGGTTCTTCTTCATTTTGTTTTTGTTGATGATTGATTTGCTATTTAGTCTCATTTTCTAAATTTGTTCAACTTGTGCATATGTGTTTTTTGCCCTACTTCTTCAACCTCATGAACTCTTGGAAATGCTTCAGACACCTGTTTAAAACAGCTCATTGTCTTACTCATTTAAAGGTTGTAGACTTTGACAACTGGGTTCAGAAATTGCTAGGGTAAACATAGCATACAAGATTCAGATTCAACCATTACTTATGAAATCTCTCCTATGTACATTTCGCATATAGTCCCTGATTATAACCCTAAGAGGTAGCTGCTATTCCCATTTTATGGTTAAAGAAACAGACCAAGTGAGCTTAAGTGATTTGCTTCCAAGTTACAGAGATCATAAGTGGGAAAGCTAAAATTGAACCCACGAATTTTCGATTCCATGTCTAATGCTCCTTTCTTAGACTTAACAATGAACAGTTCCCTCCCTTGTCCCTTGCCCATTCATAGGACTATAACCACAGGGGTTTATTACCAATCATGTAGTGCTGGAGGACTCTTAAAAATCAGCAAAGGTGGGATAAGGCAGTTCCCCCCTTGCACATTTGCTACCTCTGTAATTTGGGGCATTGGCCTGGGAGACCCTGATCTTTGGCGTAGGATGTTAACATCCCACAAACAGCAGAACATGCCTGCCTTCCCATGGCAGCCCTGGCAAGCAGCTCAAGAAATTAAGCTGCTCCATCAGTGCCTCAGCGATCCAGTTTCTGAGTAGCCACCAAGAGCCCTTGCTTATGAGTCTGGGTGGCCTGTGGGTCTGGCTGCCATGGAAAGGAACCTGCCATATTAAATCAGTTGATGGAGATGCTATAAAACACGAAGGAGGAAAATTAGGTTTCTGCTTTCTCCCCAAAGATTTGGCACATTTCACTGTTATCCCTGAGCTTTCTTGCTCTTTGGACACTCCTATTCCCAAATTGCCCATGCCTGGAATGTACATTGGGCATGCAGATAGCAGTATCCTATTTCCACCACAGCCCCCCACTTCTTGGAACTAAGTAAAATTTTTTTCTATTTCTGTGTGCACATTGGACACGAAAGCCTTGTTGGGGATTGTGCCACGCAGACCATGTAGCTCTGACTTTTCTGTGCATTACTCAGAATTACATCTTAACACAGTCAGGTGTTTTCTTGTGCCAGTTACTGCAATAAAAGATAAAATTTATTGAGTGCACACTATATGCTAGATACTGTATTTCATGCTTTACATGCATTATTTCATTAAATTCTCCCAAGAACCCTGAAGGGTGGGGAATATTTACAGGAAATCAGAGCTTTGCAAAATTAACTCAATTACCCAGAGTCACCCTGCTAGCAACTATGAAAGCCAAGATTCAAATCCTGGTCTGATTGATGGATTAGGAGATACCAATAGCCAGCATTTACTTCATTGATCTCCTTTAAGACAGGCTTGAATTAGTACGGCCTCCCAAGCCAGTACCTTGAAGGGTAACAGGGCAAGACCCTAGTACTTGTGAAGTGACCTTTCATGATTCCTATGCCAAACAACAGAAGACTCAGGGAAAGTGGCATTGGTCAGAGGAACTTGATCAGAATCAGTGCCAATTTTGCCTTTCCTGGTGAGGTTCTGTGGACCAAATTATTTTGCATATCATTATATGAGTTTGGTTTATATTATCATAAGTTTACTGACATTATTGTGATATGGAAAGGAGACAGAACTTGAAAGAAGAAAAGCCAGTGAGCTGTTCCTGACTTGTCCAGCACCCACACTTTCACTCTGTGCACCTCTGGGCTCTCTCATGAGGGCTCTTCACTAAAGAGTCTGTTTCTGTTGAGGACCAGCTGACCTCTCCTTTCTTTCTAGAATGCTTGGGTTAGATTTGGTGGTGCGAGATGACAACGGAAACATCTTGGACCCAGATGAGACCAGCACGATCGCCCTCTTCAGGGTCCATGAAATAGCCTCAAAAAGGATTGAGGAAAGGATTCAAGAAGAAAAGGTACCCTTCCTCAGATACGCCGATTTTGGCCACTGAGGTTCCATTTTTGCTTTTGTTTTTAATGAGAGAAGGGGGGTCGTTGACCACAGAGGTAGAAATGTTTAGAAAACCATTCATGCCCTCATTTTTTTGTAATCCTCACCCGAGGATATTTTTTCCATTGCTTTTCAGAGAGAGTGGAAGGGAGAGAGAAAGACATTGATGTGCAACAGACACACCAGTTGGTTGCCTCCGGCCACGCTCCCTGACCAGGACCAGGGATCGAGCCTGCAACTGAGGTACAAGCCCTTGGCTGGAATTGAACCCAGGACCCTTCAGTCTGTGGGCCAAACCAGCTAGGGCTTCATGCCCTCATATGAAAAGCAAAATGTGTCCAGCCAGCATGGCTCAGCGGTTGAGCATCGACCTAGGATTCAGGAGATCGAGGTTCGATTCCTAGTCAGGGCACATGCTGGAGTTTCGGGCTCGATCCCCAGTCGGGGGCATGCAGGTGGCAGCCGATCAATGACTCTCATCATTGATGCTTCTCTCTCTCCCTCTCCCTTCCTGTCTCTGAAATCAATAAAAATATATTAAAAAAATAAAAATAAAATAAAAGCAAAGCGTAACAGAAAGAATGAGGTGGTTATATGTATGTTCTGGTAAGGAAAGATTGCAGATATATAAAAAAGAACAAGATGCAGAACTGTGTATGAAATACTGTTATTTGTTTATTTCAAAAAAGTGTATGCAGCCCTGGCCAGTGTGGCTCAGTTGGTTGGAGCATTGTCCTGTACGCCAAAAGGTCTCGGGTTCAATTCCCGGTTAGGTCACTTTCCCAGGTTGCGGGTTCGATCCTCTGTCGGGGCACATGCAGGAGGCAACCAATTGATGTTTCTCTCTCTCCCTCTTCCTTCTTTTCTCTCCAAAGTCAATTTGAAAAAAGAATATACATATATCTGTGCTTGTTTATGTGTGGACTAACTCTGGAATGATAGACAAGAAATTGGTAATTAATGGATGCCTCTGGGAAGGAGAGCAGGGTGGAAGGGAGCCTTTTTACCTTGTAACCTTCTGTATTTAGTGCATATATTACAATTTCCAAAATAAATTAAATAATATTAGGAAATAAAGTATTTGAAAGATTTTGAAACTAGTAACTGGACATTAAATAAAAATTAGAAAGGTATAGAAAGAGAAAAAATATTCACCTAGCCCTAGCTGGTTTTGCTCAGTGGTTAGAGCATCAGCCCATAGACTGAAGGGTCCTGGGTTCAATTCTAGCCAAGGGCATGTGCCTCGGTTGCAGGCTCAATCCCGGGCCCTGGTCGGGAATGTGGCGGGAGGCAACCAATTGGTTTGTCTCTATCACATCAGTGTTTCTCTCACTCTCTCTCCCTTCCACTTCTCTCTGAAAAGTAATAGAAAAAATATCCTCACATGAGGATTGAAAAAAAGAAATATATCCACCCGTATTATGACTGCCTAACCATATTGATATTTTGGTATATGGTCTTCCAGTCTTTCTGTTCTATTGAGTAAAAGTTTCTGTTTTGCTTTTATTTTCTTAGTTTGTAGGTTTTATTTCTTTAGCATAGTTGTGATAATACTTAATTGTATTTCTGGATTTAATGGCTAACCATGCCTGAGGGTGAAGCCTTCCCAGTGGAATCTCTTGTTTGCAGTGAGAGTTATTTCCCCAAATAGGGTAAAGAATTGTGATTTTTTTGCTTTTGAGGTTCATCCAGAAGCGATTGTGAAAGATGAGAACTTCTTGAAGCTACTAAAATCATGAATAGTCACCTTTGGGCAGCTATTGAATTACTTGGGTTGAAGGCTCTGAACAGGACAGTCTTGATTATGTAAATAGTGATTATATTGTATTTTTGCTCATTCAGTTATTTGTCCACTTACATACAGTTTCTTCTAAGTGCTTCCTCTTGGGTATTACTTATATTTGTCCCCCATTTACCAATATTTTCCATTTGCTGAAAACAAGATGCTTCTCTCTCTTGTCGTCTGTGTTCAGTCAATGCTGCAGAACGTGGACTTGCGGGGCCAGTCCATCTTCAGTGCCTTTCATACTTATGGCCTCTATGTCAACTTCAAGAACTTTGTCTGCAACATCGGTGAAGATGCAGAGTTGTTCATGGCCCTCTATGACCCAGACCAGTCCACTTTCATCAGGTAATGGAGACCAGGTCATCTGCTGACCACCTCGCAAAAATACCCAGCCTTCACCTACCCCCTACCTGAGGTTAGGTTGGAGAGGAGAAGACAGAGAAGATGGTGAGGATTTCTAGGCAGGAGAAAATAAAATCCTTTGGGCTACTAAGCCTTTTGTCTGGCTGCTGAAACTGTGCAATAACAGTTTGTGGACTCCCTGGGTCTTAGAAATCATGTAAAACTCAACAGAACATAGAGACAGGAACCAAGAGTTCAAAAAAAATAGGGGAGCGGTAGTGGAGGGTGAATCTGCAGAATACAGAGGATTTTAGGGCACCGAAACTATTCTGTGTGATACTGTATGGTGGATACATGTCATGATACATTCGTCCAAGCCCATAGTGTACGGCACCAAGAGTGAACCCTAATGTGAACTATGGACTTTGGGTGATAATGAGCAGCCAGTGTAGGTTCATTGACTGTAACACTGCACCACTCTGGTGGGGCATGTGGATAGTGGGGAGGCTGTGCATGTGTAAGGTGGGGCTATATGGAAAATCCCTGTACTTTCTGCTCACCTTTGCTGTGAGTCTAAAACTGCTCTAAAATGCAAAGTCTTTGAAACATTTTTAAATGACTACAGGGGATGATAATAGGCTTTGTTTAGCCCTACAGTGGCATGACTTCTGAGCAGCTAAGAGAACAGATATATTTTGGAGAAGATGGTTCAAAGTAATTAGTGACAGATTGTTTATTTCTAAAATAGAAACTTTATTTGACTGTGGTGATGTGTATTCCAGGGGATGGATTTAGAATGATTATTATAAAATTATAGTCTTGATTCAGCAAAGCTGAATTGTTTAGACAAAGAATTTGAGATGGGAGAAAGACCCCAGATGGCACCTGGCAGAATCTGCTGTTTCTGTGTCCACCTTGAGCACTGTTTGTCATGGGTGCACATGGGGTGTGCCTTGTGGAGCTGGGCTATCGCAGGTACACGTCCAAAACCAGGCGACCAGAGTGCCTGACATGTGCTCCATTCGCTGACGAATGTGACAGCTGTTCTGGGCCTTCCTTTTACCCTTTCAGTCTATACTGTGGGCAACTCCAACCCCAGCTAACCTCTCCTTAAGAATCATATTTTCTCCTTCACCAGTGAGAACTACCTGATTCGTTGGGGCAGTAATGGGATGCCCAAGGAAATCGAGAAGCTCAATAACCTTCAGGCAGTCTTCACCGTAAGTCCTACCTTAAGTTTAATCATTTTCTTTGTTTATGATATTAGTGGATGCACATAAGTCTATGAAAAACATAAAAAATGAAACAATGAAAATACAAGTTATAAAAAAAAGTCATCATACTCCCTCTAGCAGGAATAACTCACTCATTTATTCAGCAAATATTTGTCAAGCACCTACTAGATGCTGGGCACTGATCTGGGCACTTGAGATACATCAGAGAACACATCAGAAAAAAACACATTGGTTTGCTTCAGGTGCTTTTGTCCAAATGGGCAAGACAGTAATAGACAATAATAAAAATAAATGAATAAATTGTGTAGAATTTTAGAAATCATAAGTGCTTGGGGGGATTGGGTGTTTCTGGGCTGGGGGAGGGTTGTCATTTTAAATAGGTGGATCAGGGAAGAACTCTGTGGGATGGAACCTTTGAGCAAGAACTTGACGCTGAGGGAGTGGGCTCCGCAGACTAAAGGGGAGCAGCATTTCAGAGCCAGGTTGCAGCTCCGGCAAAGATGGGATCCAGACTTTTTTGTTTGCTTATATTTTAATGGCCTTTTCCCTCGCTGCCACCTTCTTTCAAGGTAAGAGAAGTGATGCTATAGATGCATCATGAGCAAGGACATTTATTGGGCGATAGCTTGGGGCCTGATGACTCTCTTTCACTTGGGCTAAGAAAGTTCTTGGGATTCTCTCACTTTTTTATGACATCAGTGCTTGAAATATCCTAGAGCTGCTGCCACTTGCTCTGAGAAGACTGAGAAGGCAGCTCCCATTGGGCCTAAAGGAGCTACTCCCTTCCTTTTATCCTTAAGCCAGACCCCTGTTTTATCTCCGTGCCTTCCCTTATGGCGAGGAAAGCAGCGTCTGAGGTAGAGCACCAAGTGAAGAGATAGGAAGGAGCAGTGGTCCCGATATGAGCTTGTCCATTCATTCATTCATTTCTCCTTATTGCTATTCATTTCTCCTACTAACACCCCACCCCTAGGACAGGCGCGATTTGATGACTGTCCCTGCACTGACCATTCTAGATCTTCACCACCTGGTAACATAGACAAAAAAGCACCTAGAACTAGTTCTTCCCGAAACCTGACCCCAACCCATAGGGTATTTCCTCATTTCTGAGAAATGTGAGTTTTTCTCCTAGAATCAGAAGGCATTTATCAGTCAATGTGTACATTAAAAACAAAGTGCATTTTAAAAAGTCATTATTGAGCCCTGGCTGGTGTGGCTTAGTTGGTTTGGAGCATCACCCTGCATACCAAAAGGCCTCAGGTTTGATTCCCGGTCAGGGCACACACCCAGGTTGCGGGTTCGATCCCTGGTCTAGATGCATATAGGAGGCAACCAATGGATGTTTCTCTCTCACATCTATGTTTCTTTCTCTCTCTCCCTCTTCCTGTCTCTCTAAAATGAATTTTAAGACTATATCCTCAAGTGAGGATTAAAAAAAAAAAGAGTACAAACAAGTATAGAACATGAGCCACAAAAAAAACAGATATTTCATCTACACATCACTTATTAATCAACATACACCCAGGAGCTCTGAATGGATGCCTCATAAAGCAGATGGATGATTACAGAAAGCAGTACATGTAAATTTGTGTTATAATCGCCTCACAGGATTACTTGGAAGATGAAATGAAACCAGCATAAGTGGATACCCAATAAATGTCAATATCACACGAGTTTTAATTTCATTTGACACTGAAATGCATCCTGTACTCAGATATATCTTGGCAATATATAAAGTAGCAATGACAAGTGTCCTGATTTTTAAATACCCTGCTTAAATGGATGAACTAGAGACTTTAGATTAAATATGATCTGATTTATAAATTTGAAGTAGGAACTGGGGAATAAATTTCTTGCCGTTTTTTAATACAGTCACTTTTCTCTGATGCCATGATAGCTCTTGGGTGCTTAGGGAGAAGAGGGGAGCCATTCTGATCTTTCAGCATCAGGAAATGTGCTCGGAATGGTGTTCTGTTGTAGAGTGAAAATAAAAAGAGGAACAAAGGTGCCAGGATGACTCAGTGTGGCGGCCTCTGACGTGCTCTCTGCTTCTCTAGGACCTCAGCAGCACCGACCTCATCCGGCCCCGCATCAGCCTCGTGTGCCAGATTGTCCGGGTGGGCCACATGGAGCTGAAGGAGGGCAAAAAGCATACCTGTGGACTCCGAAGGCCCTTTGGAGTAGCAGGTATGGAAAGACCCGGAGACAAATGTCGAGTGGTGCAACCACTGTGAAAAACAGTGTGGCAGGCCCTCAAAAAATTAAATGTAGAACTTATGAGCCGGCAATCCCACTTAGGGTTGTATACCCCAAAGAATTAAAATCAGGGTCTCAAGGAAATAATTGTACATCCCATGTTCACTGCAGCATTATTTACAAATAGCCAAAAGGTAGAAGCAACCCAGGTGCCCAGAAGTGGATGAATAGGGTAAACAAAATGTGGTATGTCCATACAATGGACTATCATTCAGCCTTAAAAGGAAGGAAGTTCTGACACCTGCTGCAACTTGGATGATCCATGAGGATATTATATTAAGTGAAATATGCCACTCACAGAAAGATAAATACTATATGATTCCACTTCAATGAAGTACACATAGAATGGTTAAATTCATAGAAACAGAAAGTGGAATGGTAGTTGCCAGGGGCTGGAGGAAGACAGGACTGGGGAGTTAGTGTTTAATGGATACAGAGTTTTAGTTTGGGAGGGTGAAAACATTGTGGAGGTGGATGGTGGCGATGGCTGCATAGCAACATGAATGTACTTATTGCCACAGAACTGCCCACTTAAATTGGCTCTGGCCAGTGTGGCTCAGTTGGTGGGAGCACCCTCCCATACACTGAAAGGTCATGGATTCAATTCCCGGTCAGGGCACATACCCAGGTTTTGGGTTTGATCCCTGGTAGGGTCCTGTGTGGGAGGCAACTGATTGATACAATAGTTATCTCTCTCCCTCTCCCTTCCCCTCTCTGTAAAATCAATAAAAAAAACACATGTCCTCAGGTAAGGATTAAAAAAATGGTTAAAATGGTAAATTTATGTTATGTATATTTTATCACAGTAAAAAAAATTAAAGAAAAATAGAGGAGATAGGAGGGAGATAGACCCAGAAACCGTGGGAGGTAGGCCGGTTGTCAGTTGTTAGTATCAGACGCAGCATTTACTGCCTGGGACAACCAGTTATCTTTTCTCGGGCTCTGTGTCTTCACCTAGACCCACCTCCTTGCTTTCCCTCCAGTGCCTAGCAGTGTCTTGCACACAGCAGGCCCTCAGCCATGCCTCCGTTTTGATTTTTGGAATTTATTCCCTGCCTGTGGCCACACATTAATTACTGATTTTAGTCAAGTAAAATTCTCCCTGGAAAGCACCTGTCTAGGAAATTTACTTTTCAGAGGCAACATTGTGTTTGTAAATGCTTTCAAGGAGGATCCTTGGCTTAAATCAAATCTTTCAACCTTCCAAGAAGCCCTTCCTTTTGTCTGTAGTTTGTTGAGGAAATATATGTTCAATCTTACGTTGAAATTTTGATCATTAAGTAGTTTTGAAAGCCGTCAGTGAAATACCATAATTTTGCTCCTGGAACAAGGGCCCGGAAACTCCGTGTTATCAGGGCGGCCTCTGTATCTCCTGAGACTGTATATGGGCATCCCTTGAACAGCCCTGCCCTCCAACTGCTGCTCAAGGACAGATAGTCTGTGACCGGAGGGCACAGCGTCACTTCCTGATAGAGAACTTAAGTGAAATCTCAGAAAAAGCAAGAGGCCTGGTCCAGGACTATTTAGCCACCTACACGACCGTCTCCCGATATAAGGAGTTACGGCATATTAGAGGTTATTGGCATTCAGAATGAGCCAAAGAAATCAGAGGGACATCAAGCTCGAACTTTCGCTTGCTTTTCTATATCAGGGTGTGTATGTGTGTGCATGTGCGTGTGTGTGTGTGTGTGTGTGTTCAGGGAATGGGGTGCGATGGGAAAGGAGAAGACTCCTTTACTCTGACCCTTGATGCTGGGCATCAGCAGAGCTTAGCAGTAACTAGATGTGGCAAAGACAAATGAACTGCCTATTGGTGTTTTTTTTGAGGGGGGGTGGGTGTCACATATAAGTTTTTTGGGTGTTTTTTTGGGTGTTTTTTGTACAAATTTCTTTGCAGACTTCCATGAAAGGCTAACAGCAAGTTGATGCCATGCCCTACTTTCTACAGCCTTCTTCCACCAACATTTTTATTTTCCAAGCCTGACACTGCGTCGTGTGGGATACTTTAAGGAGGCATTTCGTTAGTTTTTCGTATGAGAATTGTCTCGTATCTCGGTATTTCTTTTAATCTCCAAACAGGTTATCTGGGGAGTGGATTGTGGAGCTAGTGTTTATGGCCAGATTGTAATTAGTTAACCGAGGATTGCCTCTTGCCATGGGCCCTGCCTAATTTCAGCAGCTGGAGAGAGGCCCATTTACTACTGCAGACAGCAGGGGATAGTTAGGTGAAATGATTTGGCCCTCTTGGTTCATACCCTGGCTTTCACGCTTAAAATTTCTGACCTAGGGCAAGTTACTTACCTTGGCTGTGCGCAGTTTCTCATCTTTTAAAGTAGAGCTAATGATATCTGTATAAATAATGTATATGCAGGAGGCTTAGAACAGTACTTTATTTATTTATTTTAAATATGTCTTTATTAGTTTCAGAGAGAGGAAGGGAGAGGGAGAGAGAGCTATAAACATCAATGATGAGTCATTGATCGGCTGCCTCCTGCACGCCCCCTAGTGGGGATCGAGCCCGCAACCCGGGCATGTGCCCTGACCAGGAATTGAACCGTGACCTCCTGGTTCATAGGTCAACACTCAACCACTAAGCCACGCTGGCCAGGCAGAACAGTACTTTATTTATTGCTCTCCTTGCCCATAAAGAAGCAGACCACTCTAGGAGCATCCAGGTGCTGTGGCTTCCCTTTATTCATGTGTAAATCAGGTGAGAAAATGTCAGATCAAAGGCACAGCTGACCCTGTTTCTCTCCCAGGCCTGTTCTGTTGTCACTTGTGCCAAAAATGTGTGTTTTCTGGGCCTTTGAATGCAGGCTCACTCAGAAGTTATCAGGGGGTCAGATCTCTCAAGAATGTAGCAACTGGGCCCTGTGGAACTTTGAAAAGGGAGTAGCCTGCAGGGTTATCTGAGAAAATCTAAGCCCCTGCAGGAGGGAGCTCCTGTAATTGCTCTTCTACGGGGCTGCCACGCTGGGAATCCTTGTTGGCAAAGAAATCAACGTCCCTTACGTGGAATCTGCCTTCCCCCGGTGCTCTGTGTTGCCGATACTCCACAGTGGCCCACCGAGGCCTGAAGTAATTAGTTTCTTTAATTAAGTTTATCTTCTTCCTAGTGATGGATATTACCGACATCATACACGGGAAGGTGGATGATGAAGAAAAGCAGCACTTCATTCCCTGTCAGCAGTAAGTCCTGTGGCATTTACCCCGGGTGACTTGAGGCCTGGGTCAGCGCTTTGAACGGCGTGTTTGCGCAGAAGCGGGTGCGGGAAGCACTGGCTTAGTTGGAGAAGGATTGTCAGAGAGGAGCCGGCAGAGGCTGCATTCGAAGCCCGCGATGCTGGGCTCCAGTTACAGAGCGTAAACTGAACTCCCCTGACCCTCCCGAGGTGGCCAAGGAATATGAGGGCAAATCTGTGTCCGTGCCAGGAACCAGGGAGGAGAGGCGCCCTTCTAAGTGTCAGCCACGCCAAAGACACCTGTACTTTGTCACCTGGAACAGGTGTCACAGAAGTCAGGGCATCCAGTAGGACAGCACAGGTTTTGCAAACGGGCACATGCGCTTGGGCCACCTGAGACCTTGCTAGAGTGCAGGTGTGGCCCAGCAGGTCTGGTGTCCATCTGACAAGCGTCCAGGCGGTGCCAATGCTGCCAGTGTGGGGACCACACCTGGAGTGGCGAGGTTCAGGAGGTGAGAGAGCGAGGGCGGACTAATCCGTTTTCCTGCAAAGGGGGGGAAGGCCAGCCTGGGAGGACGCGCAGGGATGCCCTGGGAGCTGCCCCGCAGCCGCCTCCTGCTGCGCTCAGGAGCCGGCGCCCGCGTGGGCCACTGCGGGGCTGCTGGGAGCACATCGCAGTCCCCGTATCTCTGAAGAAGTGCCTGTGTGAGTGGGGGGACTGCCCCAGCAGCCGTGCTCTGCTGGCCCCGTGCTCAGGTGGTGGTGGCCTAGTGAGGCTGGGACGTTGCTGGGACTGACTCCTAACAGAAGGTGATTGTCTAAGCTAGCTTGTAGCTGTCACAGCACATCAGTATGGCAACCTGAGAATCCTGGAAACCAGCCCAAGGATATTTGAATTAATATATATTTTATTAGTAATAAATAACATGATTATATTATTTTAAAATTGTTTGGGAATAATAATAACAAATCAGCAGAGATAAAAACAAACTATGCAAAAAAAATGAGAAAATCAGCTAACCATTTAAGAACATAAATTAGAACCTTGTCTCACAGCTTACACCATTGTAAACCCTGATGATGAAGCATATACATAAGCCAAAATCTTAAAATACTCAGTTTTATATAATAATGATGTTTCAGTCCAATACCAAAGATTTGACTAAAAAAGAAAATTGATACGTTTAGCCACACAAAAATTTTAAACAACTTGTACATAGAAAAAATTTTACAAAATCTTTTTAATGTGTATGAAGTATGAATATTTTTAATACATAAAGAATTAATAGAAGTTCTTAAGGACATAAGAAGGACATAGACACACAAAGAAAATGGCCTATAAGTTCACTGAGAATCAATGAAATGCAAATTATACAGTGAGGTTTAGTTTTTGGCTTGACCAAATTTTAAAAATAATAAGATATCCAGTGTTGGGTGGGTGTAAGGAAACATATATTACTTATATGAATACTGTATTCGGTTGTCTGGTATCACACCACTTCCATACTGACCCACCAGAAACGTGGTGAGGTGAAACTTATCTGTAGCTTAGTGCTCATTTGAATTATGAGATAACTTTCAAATTCATGATAGCTGCTCCCAATATAATTATCTACATATATTTAAATACATTAGATATATATTACATGTAATAAATGCATGTATATTAAAATATATTACAATTTTATATTAATATATTAAATTAAATGTATTACTATAGTAAATCAAATATGTTAATGTATCTTACATAATCACTAAATATTAAAAAATAAAATATAGAATAAACATGTTTAAATAAAAAATATATTAAGAGATAATATATTACTATATTAAATATGTACAAATATATCATTATATTTATGATAAATATAACTTTCTACCCATGAATGTTTTTATTGTACAAATATTAATATACATTATTATATATGTTATGTATATTATATAAGTACTAATAGGAGCAGCATTCATGGCTATGAAAGTTATATGAAATATATGATATATATATGTGCATGTGTAAGTAAAAGGGGCAGCATTCATGGATATGAAAGTTATTCTGCACCATATATGATATAAATATATCTAAAATAGGTATGGCATTATGGATATGAAAGTTATCGCAGATGTATTTCTGTATATTTGCTTCACCTGTAAGGGGGTTTCTTTCTTTGGTTGTGTGTCCCCTGCTGAATTTCTGCACCAGCTCTCGTCGAGCAGCTGTAGTGAAACAGTTGCCTGAGACCGTCCCCACCGTATCATAATGCCCGCTTTGAGTGTTGGAGGTGACCAGCCCTAATTTGATTACCGCTCATTGTAGGGCCAAAAGCCACTCTAAAGCTTTCACAATGCAAATTGCAGCCTCTGGCATTTAACTCCTAAGATTTATGGCAGCTGCTTTTATAACTTACCTCAAAAGCTGCAGAGTGTATTATAAGAGAGTTTTATACGTGTATCCTGCTAGTCCATCTAAGAGAGTGTCATTTGAAANTTTTATACGTGTGTCCTGCTAGTCCATCTAAGAGAGTGTCATTTGAAAACGACTCAGATGACAGCAAGTCCACTTTTGAGCAACATTGCATGTTGCCCCCTCTTGTCAGCATACAGGTCCGNAGTTTTATACGTGTATCCTGCTAGTCCATCTAAGAGAGTGTCATTTGAAAACGACTCAGATGACAGCAAGTCCACTTTTGAGCAACATTGCATGTTGCCCCCTCTTGTCAGCATACAGGTCCGAAGCCTGCGGAGAAAGCTAGCCGGCGCAGTGCGCAGGAGCACCAAACCCAGCCAAGGAGACTGGGGACCACTGTGCAGCCCAGGCGACGTGTAGTTACTGATAGCGCGGTGCTGTCAGGCCAGTGGGGGCTGTTTGCCTCTTCGGTCGCCCGGCCTGAGCCTCAGCCCGATGTGACCGTTGAAGTGAAGCTTGTTCGCTGGTGCCTGCACTGTTGCAACCCTAACTATAGTTTGTCGTCACATGGGAATCTAAGAGCACCCCCAAAGCCTCTGCATACACACTGCTCTTGTACGTTGCGTGTTGGCACTAGATGGGGCCTTCAAGGCATGTGATCAGGTCCATCTCCTTGCAGATGACACTGAGGCCCAGGGGGAGACCGGTGGAGCTCACTGCCGAGTAGAACCAGAACTGGAGGCCAGGTCTCCTGCCCCGTCCCCGGTGCTTCTCTAATTCCATTGCAGCGGCCTCTCCCACTCATGAAGAGCATCAGGCATTGCTTTTGGTTTTACTTGTTAATATTTGGCCATCAGTTTTGTTTCTTCTTGGGTGTGTTTTTTCCTTCTTTNACTCACGGAGAGCATCAGGCATTGCTTTTGATTTTACGTGTTAATATTTGGCCATCAGTTTTGTTTCTTCTTGGGTGTGTTTTTTCCTTCTTTGCCCCACGTCGTTTGCAAGATGAATTTGGTATCTAAGATAGGCACCCAATGGAAAAATAAGAAAAGATAGAAAGAGTCCTCTGTTTGCTGTGTTTAGTGCTACAGCGCCGTCCTCTTGTTTACTTACCTCTCACTTCTGACTTTCCCAGAATCGCCATGGAAACCTACATCCGGCAGAGGCAGCTAATCATGTCGCCTCTGATAACATCCCATGTGATTGGGGAAAATGAGCCGCTCACTTCAGTCCTGAATAAAGTGATAGCAGCGAAGGAAGTGAACCACAAAGGGCAAGGTACACAGCTATGTACTGAGCTGGGAGGGGCCGGGGGTAGGCACGCAGAGCTGGGGCCCTGGACTCCTGCCCTTTCATTGTCTTCCTCTGCTGTAAAACAGACCCTGCTGGGGACTGCCCGCCTCAGCTTCCCGCTGAAGGCAGTTAAGACTGAAGAGCACCCAGAATGCGCCTCACACTGACTTGGATCACAGCTGTATTTTGTAAATTCTAAGGAACAAATTTTTATCCTATGACTTTCCTCACTTTTGTCTACCCTGCAATCCTTGGCTCTAGGTAAATGCACAGAGAATTTTGAGGATAATTATGTTCCACTCTCTGAATATGTTTATCCCATTACATTGCCTAAAATTGAGAGGAAGGAGATCAAAGCAATACAAAAGAATATGTATTAATATAAAATAAAATATAAAATATCTAGCAAAATGTTTTTAGTCGTTTTTAGTACTTCGTATGGTATGCTATTGACATCACTTTAACCTAGAGAAATTCTGCTTATTGAAACTGCACTTTAAGTTCAAAATAATAAGGAAAAATAGTTAAAAATTTTAAATTTAAATACCAAGATGGTGATGGTTTTGGGTGGGATAATTTTGAAGATTGCGTTACTTTTTTTTTAACCACCCTATACCTGCCTTCCAAAGTGGAGGCAATCAAAAGACACATTATTTTCAGCTTATTTAGTTTCCCACGTGTTAACAGTTATCCTGAGTGGGAAAGACGTGAGGAATCATTAAAGAATTAAAACAAATAACTAAATATATTTCTGTTGCTTTGGAATTTCTAACCTTANCGTGTTAACAGTTATCCTGAGTGGGAAAGACATGTGAGGAATCATTAAAGAATTAAAACAAATAACTAAATATATTTCTGTTGCTTTGGAATTTCTAACCTTAGGATATAATTTGTTAGAGTGGAAAACACTTATACTAAATAGATTGCTCTGTATGTATAATTTCTTTTAACAAAACTGAAAAAAAAGATAATTTCTTCTTTTGCTGCTTACCAAAACAAGCACTTTTCAAATGTTTTTATGCTCTTCACAAATATTTTTTGTGGCTGCATAATATTCCATTGCTTGGATTTCAGAAAATGAAATCCCCTAGGAAAACACTTGTGTTCTCTAATTTGTCACCATTATAAATTTAAATAACTCTATTTGACTATCTTTATACATGCAGCTTTTTCCATATTCAGGATTGCCTCCCTCAAAACTTCCCAGAAGTAGGATTTCTGGGTCGAGTGATGGCAACAACCTTAAATCTGGAAACAGAAAGCTATAGATTTCTACCAGTGGCACTAATTACCATCTTGCGTGCTTTGCAAACTGATACTTAAAAAATGTTTCCTGTTTGAAAGGTAAAAAGTACGCTTCCATATAGTTCTCTTGAATTAAAAAAACCAACAACATGCCTCTTCATGGATTATCTAGCCTTCATGTGTATGTGAGTTTTCTACAGTTTTCCCTCTCAGTTTTTATGAGCACTTTATATAATAAAGATAATCTGTCTTATTTAGGACATATATTTTCCAATTTTTGGTTTGCCAAATAGTTATAAAATTCTTGTACTTCCTTGTGAATTGTCTATTCATGCCTTATGTATTTGTGAGGATGTTAATGTTTTTTCTCCTAATGAGTGGTATAAATTCATAATTATTTATAAGTATTTCACCACTTTATAGTATACTTTTTAAGAATATAAAAACTTTCAGTTTATACATAGATAATTCTTTTTGCTTTTGTGACTTCGTTTCTCTACTTAGAAAAATGGTTCATTCCCAGACATTTAATAACTATACATTTATTTTTTTCTCTTAATTCCCTGTCTTTTTTCAATATTAGGAATTTATCTTAATGAAAATGTGAGGTGAGATATTAGATTCTGTTCTCAGTAGCAGCGCATTTTTGAAATTGTGTTTTTTTCGTGATTTGTTGTGCCTCTTTTGCTATATGTTATAGTACTGTTATAGTATCTCACCATTTCCATTGATTCACCTAACTTTTTACCACTAGTCTCATACATTACTAGGGCTTTACAGCATTTTGGTGTCTGATAGGGGCTGTCTTCATTCTCTTTCCCCCCAAAGTAAACATATGTTCACTTCTCTGTCAGATTCTCAAGAAGTCCTCATGGAGTGTCATTAAACTGCTAAGTTAACTGGGGGAGAATTTTCATCCAGCAATACTGTGTCTGTATATCATTACAACATATTTTTCTCAGTGTTGGTGTGTGTGTATTATATAGATCATGCAGGGAACTAAAAGCCTATCTTTTATTTCTTTGAAGGACTTTGGGTGTCCTTGAAGCTATTGCCGGGTGACCTCACACAAGTTCAGAAGAATTTCTCACACTTGGTGGATAGATCCACAGCAATCGCCCGAAAAATGGGCTTTCCTGAAATAATACTTCCAGGTAAACACTTTGTCTGCTTCAGTCCCCTGTTCTGCTCCCTCTAGGATTTCCTTCCATGGAGTAGGTACTCCTAACAGCACAGGTGAAACCACACGATTTAGGTACCTGCTTTCAGTGGTACCCGGACAGCGGGAGATACAAACAGGGCTTCAGGCAGCACCTCAGAGAGCTGCCCGGTTGCCAAGGCCAAGACCAGCTTCTGAGCGAACTCAGAATGTTGTGTCCGCTCTCTTCCTTTATGTTCCGCACAAGCCCGTCCGCAGGGCTTCCCGAGACTGTCGTTAGGTTGAACTAAGTGGCACAGGTTCTCTGCTCCGAGAATAATCTGCGTCATTTGCACGGGCCTCTCCCGCAGTGATGTCACCAGCATCCTGGGCTCCTGGCTGGGAAACTCCAGCGAGGTGCCCGCTCAGCGAGGTCACCCTCTGCTTCAGTTGCTTCAGCTCCAACTGTGTTGCTGGCAGTCCCCATACTTGTGGTGACAAGAGCATAAACCGTCTGCAGTTTCTTTAGTTTCACCTTATTTGCCACCATGTGTTGGTGATTTGCATCAGTATTCACTGATTTAACCCCTTTAATGTCCTAATCTTCATATTAGTAAAAGGCAGTCAGTCATTCCCTCAAGGAACTTTATATAATATAATAAAGTTACCATTTTATTATATTATATCAATATTGTGTATAAAGTGTATAGTTATGAATAAATAGTAAAATATGAATATATGTATTTTATAGGTAGAACATATAAGTTAATAATCTTGGGCATCTTAGAAAAATTCTAGAAAACTAAGCTCTTACCTATGACATGAAAATTCAGGTTCTTTTAAAGTAACACAAGGTCTTATTTCTCCTTTGTGAGATTAATGAGCAGTCATAATTTGTTGCCACGCACACTGTCTGCGTATAGTAGATATTAAAAGAATATTTGTGGAGTGAATGAATAGAAGAGCTATAAAGTGGAAATTTCCTGTTCTTATGAAAGAGGGTAGTTTTTCATCTGGGGTCCAGAGCCATTTCAGCCTGATGCATATTCATCAGCATTCTGGCGAAAATGCTGTCTTCCTGGTTGTTTTAAAAAATAAGTATTGGGCTTGGCCGGGCTTGGCTCAGCGGTTGAGCATCGACCTAGGATCCAGGTGATCGGGTTCAATTCCCGGCCAGGGCACATGCCCGGGTTGCGGGCTCGATCCCCAGTCGGGGTCATGCAGGAGGCAGCCGATCAATGACTCTCTCATCATTGATGTCCCCCCCCCTTTTCCTCTCTATGAAATCAATAAAAATATATTTTAAAAAAAAAGTATTGGGCCCTGCTGGTGTGGCTCAGCGGTTGAGCATTGACCTATGAACCAGGAGGTCATGGTTCAATTCTGCGTGCAGGAGGCAGCCGATCAATGTTCTGTCCGCTCTCTTCCTTTATGTTCCGCACAAGCCCGTCCGCAGGGCTTCCCGAGACTGTCGTTAGGTTGAACTAAGTGGCACAGGTTCTCTGCTCCGAGAATAATCTGCGTCATTTGCACGGG